GGGGTTAGGGGGTTGGGGCGGCGCTGGGGGCGGGCCGGGTGGCCGCGTTAGGGAGCCATTAGTGTGTGAGGGGAACGGACTGTGCAGGGTGATGGGGACCAAGAGGTGGAGGGCAAAGCCACAGCCAGCCCTTAGCAGGGGAGAAGCAGGGGAAGGGGGTGAAGCCCCGGTTGTTGGTGGTTGCAGGCCTGGTTTCCATCCCCCCAGAGCCCACGCTAAGCAATTCCCATAGCATGAGGGCAAACGGGCCTTGCCGCCATGTTTATCCATTAGGATTTTGACAGTTTGGACAGCTTGATGGAACTGGCGCCTCCGGAGCCACAGACACATATCTGTCCTGCCAGGGACCCAAACCCGACACACTCAGTTTCCACAGCTAGGGCACAAAACCATCACCCCTGGGGGAAGGCGACCCTAGTAAAGCCAAAGCCACCATATGAAAGCAGCTGCAGCCTTCTTTCGCATGCACGTTTCACACAGTTCTTTCCTACGGAGGAATCCAGAATGCTGCTGACATTTTTTCTTTCTTGTTGGTACCTTGCCGGCTGAATCGGGAGAGGCACGACGCTGCAGCAGCAGTTTTGCCACTTCCAGGCTCCCATATTTGGCCGCCACGTGCAAAGGTGTGAATCCCTTCTGAAAAATTCCAGGAGATAAAAAGGAGATGTTTGCGTTAAAGGTCATACTGACATCTCTAAGAACTGTGTATTAAGTGCTTACTCTTCAACCTATATCCTAGCTCACAGAATCAACAGCAGTACACAGAAAGACCATCATCTCTTGAAAGCACTTTGAAAAGCATGAAATACAAGAAAATACTTTCCCTTTTTGTTATTCTTTCATACATACGTGCTTTCAGGCTGGCAGACATTTTATCTGATAGATTCCACTAGCCACATACACTGTGGGTGGGCTATGAAGACACTTGTTCAAATTTCTGCTCCAAATCAGCTGCACTTCTTAGTTTCATGATGACAGCTTTAGAAATATTTCCTGTATCAATTGTTGCCAGTGACAATGAAACACCAAAATCGTCGAGAAAAGCTCCAAACTTCATATTCCTCCTTTAGAGTTTGTTGAAGAATTATTTCTATTTGGCCTCACGTATCCATACAGACACTAAGTTCTGCTGTAGCCTCTGAACTGCAGCTAAAAAAAGTGATGTCTGACTCAGTGGTTTTGGAAACACATTGCGGCAAGACTAAAAATCTTGTCTTTTAAAAAGAGTCTTTTTCTATTTGTTTTAATAATGCTTGCCAGTACAGCACAGGTGTAAGGTCTATGTCTAACTAACATGCTCTTTGCCTGTTCTTTTAATTAAAACAAAAAGTCTTGATAAGGAAAACTCATGGATGCAGGACAGTAGGTGGCAGACTGCACTGCTGCCCTGACAATAATTCTGGGGTGCTACAGTGACCTATTTGCCTGTAATGTTTATCATCATTATCATCTTGTTCCATTAATCCCACCTCATAAAGAGTTTACGTCATGGAATCTCAAACATTTCCAGTTCATGAATGACAGGTTTGTAGAGAGATTATCTATTGGACTACATCTTATCCTAGTCATAATTACAGAATGTTCCTGCAGTACTAAAACACTTGCCATAAAGCAATATCGGAAATTAGGAAAGTATTTAGTGTATTTTTAGACATTTTAATGTGGCTTAACAGCTGGATAAAAGCAGAACAGCAAGCATTTCCAGTAATCCATGGATCATAATTCGAAAATTGCTGGTTTAGTCTTCTAAACCCTGGAAGACACCCCATTGTTCAAAAATATGATATATTAAGTAAACAACATATAAAATATGACATATAATAAAGAAGCAATCCATAAATAATAAATACAATATACAATATTACATAAAATATTATACATATTAATTAATATTATATTTATTTAAATAGGATAATATTTAAGCTCCAGTTGTAAAATCAGGGGTACTTTGTAAGACCTAAAACAACAGCAAGAACTAAGTGATTCTCACTTAATCACATGCAATAAATTTGGACAAGGTATCTTGGAAAAGAAAATAGGAAAAAAAAGAAATTTGGACAAGATACACTGGCACGTAATTCTATTCACAGCTATCTATTTTTTTTATGTGTTCATCACTCTGCTAGGAATCTACTGGTAAACTTCTCTGGCTAACAAAACAATAATGATTCTGCAGACAATTTCTTCTATTATCCCAGACAAAATGGCCTGTTGTGTCATATGACACCTCATTTATAGAACCACTGAAAATAGATTCAGCCTTAGATGCGACTGGACAGATGCTGACTTCTATATTTTAGGAACATTCCTTTCAGCTAACACAGCCAGAACTATTTTACTATTTAAACAAAAAAGGTATTGAAGAATAAGCAGGCCTGTTCATAGAAAAAGTGTCTTTGTCACCCCCTTTTCTATTTTGAAAATTTTGGCCAAAAAGCCCTACCCATAACACAATGGGAATGAGAGAAATAAGGACTTTGTGTACATTTTAAACCTGTTGGGATCATGTATTTGTCATGATCTGCATTTGGCTCCAGTGGCAGCCGAACTCACAACTTCATACGACAGTAAAATATGTCAAAATTTTACTAACTTCTGATAGATTACTTCAGTCTGTTGGATCGCTGTTGATTAAGTAAGAACAAAACAAAAAACCCAAACCAGCTCAATTTCTCGGGGTGAAAGCACATTCCTCATGGAACAGGCGTGCGCTGGCATGCACTGCCTGTTCTACGGGAATACAGACATAAAGCATTTTGTCTTACTTTGGTGGACATGGAGTGCGAGGCACCTGCCTCTAGGAGAACCGATGCGACATCGACTTGTCCCTCTCTGGCAGAGATGTGCAGTGGAGTGTACCCATTAGTTGTTGCGGCATCAGGGTGGGCCATGTGCTGTAGCAGAAGTTGGACGATCTCCGTTTTACCCAAGCGAGAAGCAATGTGCAGTGGAGTCTGTTCTTCCTACAACTCAAATCGAGTAGATAATTAGCGCAGGTAGAACCACCCTGAGGACAATATTCTGCCTGATCCCAACAGATCCACCTACGCATTTGTCTTGCAAAAATCATAGGCAGTAACAGTACAAAAAAAGGCAGTAATGAAGGGCTTGTAGGCTAATTCTTGAGATAAGCTTCAGGAATGATTTATTAGAACAGAGAGATCTGTGAAGAAAAACATCTTTTTTCCTTTTGACAAGCAGATAGCACACATCACTGTGAGCATCACTTGCTCCCCTTTGTGTTCTTAATTTGTTTTGCAACAGCTGTGCCTTGCTCTACAAACAGTCCCCTTGGTTTCAAAATTTGGCACTAACTGCTATCAGAACCTCTGGTGCTCAGTTTTAGGACATGGCTGTGCACATCCTTGCTCAGACAGAACAGCTATTGCTGGTCTGAGTCAGACACGCTGCACTGAGTCTAGCTGGGATGGAGTTAATTTTCATCCCAGCAGCCCATCTGGTGCTCTGTTTTAGCATTCCAACCAAGGCAGTGTTGATAACACACCAGGGCGTTGGCTATTTCTGAACAGTGCTTACACAGCACCAAAGCTTTCTCTGCTTCTCCCTCTGCCCCCCCCAGGGAATAGGCTGGGGATGGGCGAGTGGTTGGGAGGTGACACAGCCAGGACAGCTGGCCCAGACTGACCCAAGAGATAATCCATACCATATACCATCATGCTCAGCAATAAAACCAGGGGGTGAGTTTTTCCAAAGGAGCCATTGCTTGGAGACTGGCTGGGCATCAGTCTGCTTGTGGGAGGTGGTGAGTAACTGCCCTTGCATCACTTGTAGTGGTAAGGGATTGGTTTTGTGTTGGTTTTTTTTTTTCCTTTTTGCTCCATCTATTAAATTGTCTTTATCTCGACCCAAGAGATTTTCTCGCTTTTGCCCTTCCAGTTCTCTCCCCTACCCTGCTGTGGGGGCAGCAAGTGAACAACTGAGCAGGGCTGAGCTGCCGGCTGGGGTCAGCCCACCACACCTATTCACTTTGGAAGAGCTATGCATAAACAGATTACTGTATTCAGAACTGGTTTTAGGTGTGCTTAATATTGAATCAACAGATCAAATAAAAATGAAATTACTCCTCCCTAGCTCCTCTGCTTCAGCTATGTTTTTGAGTAAGAGAAAGCAAAAAATATAGTACGCAGAGCACCTACCCTGGCTCGGGCATCAACCAGGGCCCCATTTCTCAAGAGGCAGCGAACTACTTCCACCTGCCCAGCACGTGCCGCCATGTGCAACGCAGTTTCTCCACGCTGCAGAAAAGCAAAAGCATTTCAGTGTCCTAAACTTCCACGAAGAAACAGAGCTCTGAGAGTGTAAATTCCACCCACGTCAACTCATGCAGAGACCCGCTTTTCCACCAGCTGGGAATGTGGCTTCAGACCCAGGAACAGGCAGTTTGGGTACACTTCGGTTTGCAAACTCGGTGATCCCAGACAAATGTAATCTCACTACAGAGGGACAGAATGAAAATCCTGGCTTACAGAAAATTCTGCCGTATAGACTCCCCTGGTCACATATGTTCCTCAGCTTTCTACATAACAGTGCATCAGCTTGTGTGCCGCACAGGAGATAAGAGTACGTCGAGCCTGTCTCTCTCTAGGGATTGGGAGGCGCACGAGCCTCAAGATGGAAGGGGATATTTTTCCAGATGGTCTCTTCCTGCGCACTGTGTGGAGCTGGCAGCATTAAAAGGCTTTGTAATGGCTGTGCACAGCTGAGCCAGCATATGAAACGTGTAAAATCTGTGCTCAGCAGCATGGCTCTATCTGCAGGCTGTGGAACGAATCTTGTTTCAAGCCGTTTGTAGCCCACAGAATTTGAAGGAGAACATGAAATTTTGGAAAGCTGACTGGAGTGACGTGGAATTTCAGATCAGGATAATGACATACGGATGATACATTCAAAGCATTTACTTTTTGCATAGGTTTGTAAAGGAACACTGAAAGTGAGTATTCCTTGACAATGGCTTTTCATGATTAATTTTGCACTGTCCAACATCCTTTGAGTCACTGTCCTAAAGTGAACCAAAACAGTACCTCTGCAGCTCATTGGTATCTGGTACATCAGGTACTGGGACACTTCCAGGAGCTCTGTATTTATCTGTTGTGTTATAAGAACACAGCAGGACTGATCACTTCTTTGTGATAATTGTTCCTTCTCCTTACTCTAGAGCTGGAGTATATTCTGTTGGAAGGCTTTCAAGTCCACGATTACCCAGTTAAATTGGAATTGCCAAAATGAACACTCTGGTCAAGACCTTTTGCGTCAGAATCAGGAATCATGTTTTCTTGTCCTTCATCTGGATGTAGGAGAAGCAGCAGCCTGAGCTTGCCTACTATTATGAACTTCTAATTAAAGCAAACCCTCTTCACCAGGAGTTGATTGATCTCATCATTTTAAAATTAACAGTGTATTACCAGCTGTGATTAGTAAGTAGGTAACAAACAAAATCCCACAGCCCTAGCTACAAATCTTAATAGAGAATCTCATCTACATGGACTTTATTACCTGAAGAATGAGCTGTTTAAAAGGTAAGATTTACATTTCACACACTCTAAAGATCAAATTTCTATAAAGATCCTTTTGTACTTGAATTAGCAAAGCAATATAGCTTTTGGAAACCGTTAGTAATTCAACAGGGAACTTCAGCTTACCAAGTAAAAGCCAAGACACCTGTGTAGCATAAATTGTAAAGTGTTAAACTTTGGACACAAATGTCTAGTAACACAATACTTCTAATTGCTTCCACAAGAATTTCTTGTTGGCTTTCATATCATCAATAAAGTTTTTATATATAGATTGCTTCTATTAAAAAGTATGAAAGCAGTAAGAGACTTTGTCAAGAAAAGTCTCTTCTAATGACCCACGCAAACAACTCAGTGTGCTCAACATTTTTACTAGGTTTCATATAAGATTTTTCTAGCTGAGAAAAACTGATGAGTCCAGTGTACATGGATTACTAAATTTTTGTTGTTCTTTCGTTGTTGGGAACATTTAGCTATAACATTACCTACTGGTAAAAAGCTGCTTTCAAACTGCAAGTGGTCCTAAGTTGAATATTTGTTTATATTGACAAATTCGAACAGTAATGTATCTATGAAATACAGCTCAGAAAACTATCATGTTCTTATTATTGTTTTTCTTCTTGGTAACTAGGCTATTGGTATACAAACACTGATTTCTATGGTAAGTCAGGTTCTGCATTTTGTGTTACCTCCCAAAGGTCACATTTTCTAGATTTAAGCACGTTCTTTCGAAAGGCACCAGTTGCTGGAATTTCCTGTATAAGAGGAACATCTTGAGTTTAACATTTTTACTATTTGTTTGTTAGGTTTTAAGCATTTTATACCCTTTCACTGATACAAATGACACAATTTCATGGCAGCCAGTGAAGCTATGCAAGCAGAAATTAGAGCCATTTGGATTTAAATTTCATCTTTTAGAATGGAAACACAGTCTTCCCTGTGACTTGGCTCACAGTCAGTTTTGGATGTATCTGGTGAGCTTTGTCTGTCTCTAAGGGAAACTTTACCTACTCCAGCATTGTTGAAGAATGCATGAAACCACAGATGGCTTATAATGCATATTCAATCACCATTTCCCCCTCTTCACTAAAGGTGCTAGAATGATTTGTCCTAAAATACAATAAAGCCATAAAGTATCATTAAAATGTGACCTTTGGTTGAGCTACATGGTAGGCCAGACCCTTTTTGGAGGAGGTATTGCACAGATGGTTCTAGTCAAAGCCATACTCACAATGTTAGTGACATCGGGAGAGGCTCCGTTCTGCAGCAGAAGGAGGACTATGTTCAAGTGGCCCATAAATGCAGCCACGTGTATTGGTGTGAGGCCCGACTGCGAAACAAAGCAAGAGCAGTTTTACTCCTCTGCATGGGCGTAGGGAAGGGGCTTCTTTGTTTTAAGTAGAACATAAGTGAAAGTGAGGCATGACAGGAGAGAGAAAAAAGGAAGCAAACAGGGAGAGAGAGAAGGAATGTTTCTTCAGCACATGAAACATTTTTCTACCTCTGTTATAGCCTGGATTGAAGCCCCATATTTCACCAGGAGTTCCATGACTTTGATGCGATTTTTCTTGCAGGCAATGTGCAGTGGAGTAAAACCATTCTGTGCAAAAGACAGTCACGTTAGTTAAAAACATGCAGCTACACTTTTCCACACAGCTCCATGCTGGCACACTGGGAGCAGAAGTGTTAGAGTACCAGAAGCAATTGTTCTGTAAGCACAACAGGTTATGAATCACAGACATCTCCCAGTAGTCTGAGGCAGAACAAAGCAGTGCCACTGCTTTCTTCTAATGAACTTGAACTTCCACCTCCAAAAACCAGACATGCCTGTTCTGACTTTCCACTGTACGAGCACACTCAGGTATGTACGTGGTTCCAAAGGTTGCACACATGTAAGGATGACTTAAAGTGGTTCCCAAGATTGCCTACCACAAGGAAGATATAAGAAATGATAGTGATCACTCTCAAATCAGTCAGTGTCTTTCGAAATATGGAAAGCGTATTCTATACCTCTCTAGGAAAAGAACAGAGTACTTCCAGATTCCTCCTTATTTTGTTTCTCTTTTTATAGTATCTTGCAACCTAAGCATCTATGTGTATTTATTTTTATATTTACGCATCATTCTACAGTATACTGTATTCATGTTTGTGTGTGTGTGTGTGTGCACATTCTGTGAGGTATCTTAAATAAATAATCACTACTTCACTCATTGTTTCATCACACTAAGTGTTCACTCTTGAAGTATTTGTGCCCCCCCTCCCTTTATTCCTGCCCTGCTGAGACACAAAGCTTTGTAAGCAAGGTTTCACTCCTCGTCTGCATCAAAATTTAGAGGGGCAGGGTCCGGAATGAAAGGGGGGTGGGGAAGGGAATATCTTAAATCAAGATTGCGACCTAGCATTTTGTATTGTGAGACAATACTTTTAGTGTTATGCTTACTATCAGCACATACTCATTTCTTTGGAAATGCTTATTCAGTATGACTGAGGCCCAAATCAAAGCACGTCTTCCTACTCTAACACGTGCTTTGACTTCAAGCTTTTTTTATGTACTATTCTAGTTAATGCAGGTTAAGTGTGTGCCAAAAGCTAAGCAAACACATTATTACCCATATGTGAATATTTTAGTGAAAAGCACAGATAACATTTTTAGATAATGTTGAAAAATTGCTATATATATTCTAATGAAAAGGATCAGTATTGCTAAACAATCAACTAGCAGTAAACAGAACTTATCAGGGAAATCTTAGCTCATGGGAAGAGGCATGTGACATATTCTACAGTCAGCTTTTGTTAACGGAAAAGTTAATTACTAGTTGATTTGAAGGTGCTTTAAAACATATACAAATTGAAACATCTAAGAACTCATACAGTGCTTGTATCCCCAAATCATTTTGTAAACATTAACAATTTTTCTTTACATCTAGCTGAAAATTAATTATTTGTAAAATTTATTCCATCACAGGACTCTGCTGAATATTATTACTCCTATTAGCCTTCTCTAATTTCTGAAAAAGGAATCAAAACCACTAGATATATTACCTCCCACTCAACGCCTCATTATATTTCATGGGGAGTTTTACTGTTTAGGGAGTTTTACTGTTTCAGAAGTTTCCACATTTTCACTTAATTTTATTGCCTGAGTTGATTTCTACTTCTGTTTAAGTGAGGAATGGTTTGATAGGGGAGAGGAGAAGGCAGAAAAAACAATTCACTAACAAATTATGAGCATCATTTAATACATTAAGTACTATAAACAAGCCAGAGGCGACAAGTCCCTGATGGGAGAGGAAACGAGAGACGAAAAAAAAACAGTCTGGATGGAAGAGAGCAGAGAGGCAGCAGCCTGAGGGTGTTCTCCTTTCATTTCAGTTGTTTATCTGGGAGGGAGGAACAGAAGGTGTATTTATGGTCATGGAAGGAAAGAAGATGTGGGGGCTAGCATATAATATGTGTGTGTGGATAGCTGAGGAAAATACAGCTAAAGATAACCAGAAGACTGGCAAGAAAAACAAAAAATGATGAAAATAGCATCAAAAAAGATCAACCAAGTGAACACGATATCAAGAAAGACAAAACAAGAAAAGCGTAAGAGGAAGCAAGAGGGATTATGGGATTGGCAGGTATAGTGAGGCCAAGAAAAATGAGAGGGCAGAAGAAAATTGTGTCAATAAAAAGTCAGTTCCAAGGAAGTAAGGGAAGTAAGGGATAGGGGGAGCCTTCACAGAAAAACACAGGGTCATACTGAAGGCAAGAAGCTGGGGGAGACATCAGAGTGGCCTGCGGTGGAAGTTCTGTGGAGGCACTGAATACAGCAGGCAATGGCAGACTTCTTGCCATTCGGAAGTATCTCAAGTGTTCACGGTCTCTTTCTTCCCCCGCTGAGTGTAATACATTAGTACTTTAACTTGCATCCAGCTAACAGTCCATGGGGACACTTCCTATTAGAGAAAATTGGAACCTTGTCTGGGATTGGATAGATTTAAGACTCTTCAAAGCTTTGTATGTTCCCAAAGCCAAATGTGATGTTTTTCTCTTGGTTAGGGGATAATGGTCCGATAGCGAGTGAAAGCAATCATACCTGTTTTCCTGTAAGCATCACAACTGTTTTTTGAAAAGGAAGAAAAGTGGCACCTAATAGAGGGGAATGTCATAATTTGATAAATGCAGAAATATTAGCTTCTTAATATATTTTCTCCACGCCAATAAACTTACTGATTCAGCTGAAAGCTTAGATATTATTTGTCTATCATATCACATAGTATGGAAAACCAAAGTATTAATTCAGTAAAATCCCAATGCATGTGTTAACATCAGCTAGAAATGGCTCTGATTTTAGGAACTCTGTAGAGCTTCCAGACCTGATACTACAGCCACTTGCCACAGGACATGGTCCATGACTCAGCCCAATGATAGGAGATACAATCCTGGTAACCTGTTGTTACTGCAGCTATTTAAGGCTGTTGGAGTTTGTTGACAGTTTTCACTTAGCTTTAATGGTAAAAGCTACTCATCTGCCCTAGATAGGTTTGTTGCACTACACAGGTGGGACAGGTTTACCAGGGCACGAGCATTGGGATTTGCTCTCTTGTCCAGAAGGAGTTTGGTGACACGGTAGTGGCCGCAGTGTGCGGCCACATGGAGGGCAGTCAGGTAATCCAGCGTGACGTCATCCACAGGAGCTTTGTGCTGCAGTAGGTGTTTGACGCATTCCACATGGTCCCCCTGGGCCGCCATGTGAAGTGGAGAAAGTCCATTCTGTGGGAAAATAAAACAGAACAGTAACTTCAAGTAACTCCCACTTAGACAGTGGCACGTATTAGAAAGATGCCATCATGAGTTTGCAGAGTACCCCCATCACTGAAACAGAGCTGCACCTGAGTTTTGGACTGGAAGAAAAAACTGAAAAAAGCTATAGCCACCCCTCCCCTTGCAGCAAATACAGGCAACTTCAGAGGCACATCATATAATAAACAAAAATCAGAACTAAGCAAAAGAATCTAAGGGTCTTGCCTCACGATTTAATGAAACATATCTTGACCTTAAAAGACAGTTCTGGGTATGTTCATTGTAACACTGAGACACAGATTGTATGTCAATTAGAGGAAAAGCACCTACTTACCCATCATTGTATCTACTAAGGAACCTATACTCTGGGTGTTTTTTTAAGTGTTCATTGAAAAAAAACCAATCATATTGGCAAACCTGACCCTGAGCTTCTGGGAAATGATACTTTCAACCACCACTATTGTTGGACCCTTTTTTCAAACCATAACACTTGAAGGGCAGTGGAAGCAGGAGTTTTAGAGCCCTGTTTGGCTTTAATAGATGCTTTTGTAAATATTGAAGTCCATGGAAGGTAGACAATTAGGAGGAAAGAGAATTGTCGCTATTAATTTGTATAACAAGTTGTTTTTAGAGAAAAAATAGTTTTAGTATTTACATATTTGTCTGTCTTCAGTTTGGAACCACTTGTTTCAGTTGGAAGTTAGAAGAGGAAGTTGCTTTCAAATCTATGTTCATTTTCCATGCAGTAAGGTACTTAAGCAGCACTGCGTGTGTAAAGACCAGCTATAACATATAGACTTGGACAGGTAACTGACTTGGTGGGGTCAAACTGTTTATTTGTCATCTGGAAGGAGAGAATCATTCACTAGATGATTGTGCTCTGCTCAATCCTCAACACAGTGCAGACATCCAGATGCTGCCACCGCAATGCTGACATTTTGCCTGACTAGCAACATCTGCCTTTGAATGGCAACATCTGGGAATCCTGCCTGAAGTGTGCACAACATATGTGGCAGGGTCTTCTCTTCTGAGCCTCTCCACCTCTTAGTGAAGTGAGGGTGTTGGCACACGAGGTTCACCCAACCACCTTCTCCCACCAAAGGAATCGGCGAAACTATTAGGAATCTTTGCCCTACAGTTCCCATCTCCCTGTGGATCCCTCCTGCATAAACAGATGACCTGGACTACTTGGTGCTATCAAGGATAGGATGCACAGCTTGAGCACATCCTTATTTGACATAGTTGACATGCTCGCAACCCAGTGATAAAACCTCCTGAAGACTATCAAGAGAAAATCTTGAGTCTCCAGTAAGGATAACTATGGGTCAGAACACACAAATTGCCCTTGTTTTGAGCTCTGCTCGAGGGATTGGCGCCCAGTAAACAAAGTAATGGTCTGAAACTGGTATTTAACTTGTTTGTCCCTCCTGATCTTGAGGGGACCTCAAGCATATCACTGCAATACTCTACTGTTTTCCAACTAACAATATCAACTACCTTTGTCAGGCACTCTGAAATTTACTCCTGTGAAGTGCTGCTCAGTGGGGTTTGCTATTATACTACAAGTATCTTTCCCTCATTAGTTTGACCAAAGGGACGACATTTGTAGGAAATGCATTAATCTTCGATGTGTGCTTTTCAGAAATCAGTAAGAACACACTGAAATCATTTTCCAAGTCTGACATAGTCCATGAAAACAATTAGGAGAAGCTGTAAGTCACAGGTCCTAGTTAGCTTATATGAAGAATCAGAAAACAGACACGAGGAATCATCTCTCAGGAGTGACTGACCCAGCTTTCCCATCTCTGTGTCGTATGGTCTTAGGAAGCAACGCAAGTGAAGTGCCTGCAGTAGCACTGCATATCATGTGTTTAGTCTGATACTACAGACAGGGGCAAAGAAGTGTATACCGTTTCATACGTTTGGAAAGGATAGAATCATAGAATGGTAAAGGCTGGAACGGACATTAAAGATCATCTGGTTCCAATCGCCCTGCCATGAGCAAGGACACCTTCCACTAGACCAGGTCGCTCAGAGCTCCATCCAACCTGGCCTTGAACACTTCCAGGGAGGGGGCAGCCACAGCTTCTCTGGGCAACCTGTTCCAGTGTTTCACCACCCTCACGGTGAAGAATGTCTTCCGAATATCTAATCTAAATCTGCCCTCTTTTACTTTAGAGCCGTTCCCCCTTGTCCTATCACTACACACCCTTGTGAAAAGTCCCTCTCCATCCTTCCTGTAGGCCCCCTTCAGGTGCTGGAAGGCTGCTATAAGGTCATCCCGGAGCCTTCTCTTCTCCAGGCTGAACAGCCCCAACTCCCCGAGCCTGTCCTCATAAGAGAGGTACTCTAGCCCTCTGATCATCTTCGTGGTCCTCCTCTGTAAAGGTGCAGAATCACCTCCCTCAACCGGCTGGCCACGCTGGTCTGGATGCAGCCCAGGATACAGTTGGCTTTCTGGGCTGCAAGCGCATATTGCTGGCTCATGTTGAGCTTCTCATCCACCAGCACCCCCAAGTCCTTCTCCTCAGTGCTGCTCTCGAGCCACTCTCCACCCAGCCTGTACTTGTGCGATTGCCCCGACCCACGTGCAGGACCTTGCACTTGGCCTTGTTGAACTTCATGCGGTTCACGCAGGCCCACCTCTCCAGCCTGTCAAGGTCCCTTTGAATGGCATCCCTTCCCTCCAGCGTGTCAACCACACCACACAGCTTGGTGTCATTGCCAAACTTGCTGAGGGTGCACTCTATAGTCCTTAATTATGTAAGAAAATCTTATTTTTGATCATTCTATCCATTAATACATTTCCTTTGGGAGAAAAGAAACATTCCTGTCTTCTTCCTTGTCCTTTCAGTGACATTGAAAATTCTGTGGAAAGTTACAGAGCTGTTAACATACTCTAACAGGACACACACCTTGGTCCGTGCAAGCAGTGGGGCACCTCGTTCCAGCAGCAGCTCCACAACTTGGTCATGTCCACTTCTTGCAGCACAGTGGAGTGGGGTGAGTCCATCCTTAAAGTAAAAGGAGGGAAAACCAGTGAGCACATACCCAACTGTCCATCCTGGCATTCTGAGGAACACTGTTCCAGGAATGCATCACCAGAAGCTTGTAAAAAATCTGGTTTTTTGACTCGTAACTAAAGCTGGCTCCACAACACGAAGTTTCATCCCTACTCTGCCTTGCACCAGTAAAGGACACTCTAAGGTTACCATTTCAGAGCCGAAGCCCATTATGTGATGAAATCTCTTATAAAAGAGGATAATGTGAGCACACATTGCCTCCTCCCCTCCTTCTCTTCTGCATGGTTTTGAGATTGTACTGCCTCTCCCTGGATAATGTGTGCTGGGCCAAGGATGCTCCATTAATCAACACTTGTCCTTTGGATTGCTTTTGATGCAGGGATGAAACAAGAAATGTTCACACAGAATTTTTTTTTTTTTTTTCAACAGGCAGCGGGAGAAATAAGATTTTGAAACAAAGAAAAAGAGAAAGAAAGAAACAAACAGAACAAAACCTTTAGTTTCTGAGATTGACTGGTGAAAAAAGAGCTAACCATTCTGGGCTAAAATTGCTGTGAGACCACCAACTTCGCAATATTTTTTCCATTGCAGAATACCACCCTATACTTGCTCAGGCTACTCAGTAATGAGCACAGCAGTGGCAGTAAAAGATGTGCCAATGAAACATTTAGATAGCAGAACGCATTCTGGGTCATTCTGCTACAGTTTGGACTTCATGCAGAAAAATAAAGGAAATACGAGGCAAGAAAAATAGTTGCAAAAGAATATTAGTGCTGAATGACAGAAAAAAGAAAATATGCAAGATACAGAAACCAAAGCTTTCACGTCATTAGACCTCAATATTGTTCAATCATGCACTCAGAGAAGTCATCAATACTTATTCAACAGAGATAGGTTTTTGAAGGTGAAATGGTAATAGTTTTTAATCACAACAAAAGCCTTCTCCCTTTGAGACACACTGCTCATCTTAGATGAGGTAGATGCTATTATTCTAGGGTGCTTTCAGAGGAATCTAGTAACAGCATGAGTAAAAGATGAATATACTGGTCTGAGATAGATTTGTTACTTAGAAGTTTAAAAAGTAGCAAAAATGCAAAAACATGGCCTTAAGTGTGAGTCAGTGACCCTGCTTCCTACACAGATATACTGTTTGCCTTGCTGGAGTTTGGAGGAAGTCTACATCACTATATTTTTACTACCACTACTAACATTTTTAAATTAAAAGTAGCTCTAGACTGCACAGTGCCATCACAATTGCAACATCATTTTGGCTATGCAAACACAGCCCTGTAATACTCTACAAAAGGTAGTTATGAGAATTAGATCCTCCCTCATCCTCAGTTTTGAAAGCACAGAGCACCTTTCTGAGTTAACCGTGCAACAAAGCTCCACTGTCATGAGGAACTGAAGTTTGCAGGGAGGAATTTTTCTCCCTTACTTATCTACTGTTGCCAGAGATATTTCAGAAACATGTGAAGGGGTTAGGTGTGTCTTGACTCACTATCTCAGAGGCAGAGGCATCACTAAATCCGGCAGAAGCTTTGCAATGAAATTCAACATATGCAGGATCAAACCCGCAAACAGAATTCAAGGCTGTTTAGCACCTGGCAGATTGGGTCAATATAAAGGAACTGGGTGTAACTAGCTTATCTGGGGTTTTTTTCTGCACTGAAACTTCAGAGTCCCCTAAATCAAATCTTTATATGCACAGCTGAGGTATATTTTCATCTTGCTGCCAGTAGGATACATACTCATAATTCCCATTAGCATTACTAAGGGGAGAACATATCCCAAATGTATTTCTAGGAAAGGTATTTATTTGGTATTTCTTTCTGGTTTCTGGCCTTTTGTGCTCTACAGCTTTAATAAATGTGGAAGGTTCACTTTCCCTATCTGCATAGTGACTTTGATGTCATTCTATTTAAAAGAACAGCAAAAGAAAACTAGAATCATGTGAACCCTTGAAAAAATCAGGACAAATCCAGAGAGGAAGAAAAAAGAAGAAAAATACAAGCTAAGAAACACATCAGCTCCACAGGAAAGTCTAGCTAAAACAAAAATAAGAATTAAATCATTAAAAAGCATGATTTCTCCTCTGTTCTTACCTATAATTCCCTCTAAAAGTAGAGACAAAAATTTTCTACCTATCCTATTCTGCCCTGTCATAACTGTTATAAATGCATCATTTACTATCTGTGCACTTTCCAGTAGGTGTATGAAGCAACATGCTTTGCAGCCTTTCCATATAAACCCGTTCTCTTCCCCTGCTTCTTTCTGCCCTGGAGAAAACGACATGTATATTTTAAAATTATTGTATATTTATTACTTCAGATTCTATTTTTGCTTATACATTTTCTGCAGAGACGAAGGAAATTGCAAAGAGAGAGCTAATGTAGTACAAAAATTAGTACATAATACAATGAGGACAAACTGACATTAGCCAGCATCAAGAGACACACTGGTGTACCAAATTAGTCCTCTTTTGCACCATTATCTATTTGCAATGAACCTCAGTGCTCTGAAACCCATTGCAAGAGTTTGCCTATGAAATTTTTTAATCATTTCATTGCTAATCGGTACACCAGGTAAATTGAAGAGCACATGCTGACCAAAAAGTTAAGCACCTCATTTGACAGGACATACAACACTGGGTCAAAGAGACACAGACTTTGAAGCACATATAATGGATATCCCATAAACACAAAGGCCGCCATGCCAGGAGACAAGAAATTCAGCAATTTTATATTTTAGGAATTCTAGTATTTATCTCCTCATTCCAAATGATACGGAACGAAGAGTTAAATGTTTTCATCTTCCAAGTGACATCCTGCACCTGGTGTTCTGTTGTGCCCATGTGTGGTACTCTCCTAGCTCACTCTTTGCAACGTAACCAACAGCTGGGTCACTGTTAGAAATGACACTACAATCCTCTCTGTACATAGGGAAGCCATGAAATTCCACCACTCCTAATATCTTACTAAACGGCTCTCAAAATAGAAGGTAAACTTTTCCCTTTTTTTCTTGAAAAGTGATCACTGGTCATTTTTTAACCTGCAAAATTAATTCTGAATTCTGTGCGTGACTCCTAACGGCAGGACTCAGAAAGATATATTATTGGGTTATTTCACAGTGATTAAAATGCTTTATTTCAGCATACCAGAGAGACTGAGATAAAAAGCAGCTGCTCTTGCGAAAGATTCTTAATGGAAGATGGTACGGGCAGCATCTTAACAGAAAGACGGTTGTGCATATTCAGTGCTCATTCGAGTGAAGACTGACGACAGCACGTGAACATCAAAGGCCAAATTATCAAAGAATTCTTCTAAACTGCTGCTGCATATTCTCATTTTTATAAGGGTGAAATAGAATTTTAGTATTCTGTATGTTAGACACGCAAAATTGTCTAAATTTTCTCCACAAATAAAGGCCTTTCCATTTGTTCATTTTTCATTACTACTAAACCTCATCTCTTTAAAAATGAACAAGGCAAGTCTCCCTATTGCTCTAAGCTGTCAGAGGCTTGGCATAATTAAACACTCTCTAAAGTATTCCTCCAGGTCTGCCATTCAAAGTACGTATTTTAAAAACACAGCAAAAAATATACCACACATTTGCTTGAGTAATAAGATATTAACTTAAATAATTCTAACTAATAGTCACTATCTACATAGCTTGCTTACACAATCTGTGCAACTCCCTTGTAAACATTATATGAATCCACTAAATTTTTTATAGCAAGTATCTGCATTGTGATTAGATATTTATAATCTGACATTGCTTTAGGAATGGCACAAACTGCCAATGAATTATTAGTGCTCTGTGCATGTGTGAATACTAGGAGAAAATGTCACAGCAGCATTACTGCAGGAATAAACCACTGTGAACATAGCATAGTGCCAAGACAGGGTTGGGATCCCACTACAATGGCTTTATGGTAAGAAACCCACTACCTCGTGGAAATAGCAGACAGCTGTGCCTGTTTTGTCAGGATGCATATACACAAAAGGAAACACTATTACAAATAAATCTCAATAGGTTCCCAGAACGAGTGTTATAGGGTGTCTGAAGCACATTCAGCACAAAAATCCCAACCCAACACAAAAACATCTGAGTTCCACCCCCCACAGCTTCCTTCCTTTTCTTTTCCCATTGGTATCACACATCTCTGTGATCGACCTTCCACTTCTTTCAGCTCCAGCTGAGCCTCCTTTCTTTTCTGTGGCCCTTCTCCAACCCAAATGGCATACCAGACTTTCTCTCCATGATTACCACGTCTACTCCCCTCTCCAGCTCCAGCTGCCACGCTCCAGGCACACAACATGTTTACTTTCCCACACAATAAGCTTTCCATTCCAAGACTAGATGCTCTGTTTCATTCCAGGCATTTTTTTTCAACTGGAAATATTCTGGACAAGAGCCTGCAAGAGGAGTCTAAAGAACAGTCCCAGAGCAAGAAAAATTTAATTTCAGTGTTGGCAAGATTCAATAGAACGAACACAAAATGTGTGACAACTTCAGCGTCTGAGACTGGTGAATGTGTTCCTCCCCCGCTTCCAAGGGTGTCTGCATAGTCCCACAAAAATGGAAAAGCCAGTAAGGTGACAAAGGTCTGTGAATAAGACTGTGCTTTAAAAGCAAAAGTTCATACAAAAACTAAAAAAGCCCCACATTCTTGTTCTTTTCTTTCAATACAAATTATATAGAGAGATGATAAAGAGATATTACAAGAACTACATTCATAAAGAACACTCCTAAAACTCTTTAGTAGTCAGTGACATTTCAATATCCTGCATATCCTTACTGTTACTACTCTGTCATATCAGAATTTTTTTTTAATAGAAATATATGTATTTTGGCCATGCTGAAAATGCTCTGCTTTTAAATGCTTAAAATAATTCTCCCTGTAATAATCCTTACTATGTTTGAGGAAAGCTGTAAATGCTTTCCTTCTCTAAAAGTGAGAATTGATAATTGCCACATGACTCTTGACCACATGACATCAATTTAATCATAAGTTGAATCTTCCACCATCTTTTAGAGAACAAGTTTCTGCACACTGATTCCTAGCCACAGCCTGCACAACTGTTCTGAAACCCAGCTCCACTGGTCTACCATCGTAAGTCGTACAGGTCAGAAGTTCAGCTAAACTTTAAGATTTTCGACAAACATATGTCACTGAAGTTCTTATTCAGGTAAACTTGTAGAGAATATAGGTTTGACTAAGATTTTAAATATGAAATGTTTTAGCATAAGAAATTTTACCTGTTAATTACTTAGCAAACAAAACTCCAGATAAGGCTTGTAGGTAAACAGAAGTAACACAAACACAGATACAACAGACTGTACTAATAAAAGTATCCCATTAATATCACTGGGAATGGAGTTTACATTTTTGCCTTAGATACAATACGAAAGAGAAATGAAATTCCACATTCTAAAAATTTACTTAGTTAGTGAGAAAAATGGTAAAACTTGCCATAAAAAACTTGCCAGTAAAAAACTTAAGTAACATTATTCTAAAATATTTAGGTGTAGCAAGCAGACGTACTAGGAATTCTACATCTTTACACTCTAGTGAGAGATGCCACAGAATTTCAGCAAATACATTATAAAATGTATAGAAAATTAAAATATGTAATTCCTGCAGAAAGCAGGGCTTTCCTCTGACATGCAACATTAACAATGGAACAGTAGGACACATGCATAATTTACTCCCTTTGAAGAATGTACATTTTGATTTATTTTTTTAGACAATACAGGGACTCCTAATGGATCATTCCAATGGAACATTTTCAAACAAAAAAAGTTTCACAGATTGACTCTGCAAAATTAAGTACTGAGGCTGATTGAAAATCTGTTAGAGTAAGTTTTTGCATCTTAATTTATGCAGCATCAGATGTCATGTAATAAGGCAAGTTAACAATAAACTGAATGCAAGCAATGAGTACTTTTTTAACCAAAGAGTTTTTTCTGATGCAGTATGGAGACCAAGAATAACAGCCCAAGCTATCTAGCAATGTCCTAGTACATTGAATTCCACTTTCTACTGGCAGAATGCAGGTGTTCCTCAGGAGAAATGAAAAGGCGCGTATGGAAAGGCAAGCGTGTTAGTACCGAGGTGGAGGAGGCGGAATTCTGTGCTTTAAGGTACAAAACACATGTATGCGTGGCATGCAACACACAACCTACCTCTTCAATACCCTACATACTCACGGCCATAGCAAAGCACACAAGGCATGCGGACAAAGCAAAGGGAAAAGAAAAAGACACCGAGACGATATAAACAGCTGGCATGAAGACAAGAGCACGCCACAGAGACACTGACAGCAGAACCAAAGCTCTGGAATATCCCCCACTGCAAAGCACACGCAGCCGACCACCACTGTGTGCCCTGAGCAGGGAGAAGGCAGAAGATGCAAGCAAGAGGAGGATGCTGAGCCTGTGCAAACTGGCATATGGGTGTTTTAGGGTACATTTATGGGTTTTCACTGCTATTTTTGTGCTGCCAGTTTTTGAGGTAATGTAGCAGCTGGCAAAGGGCAGGAAGCCAAGACAATGAGAAGACTCTAAAATTAACACCTTCCACCTACATTGGGCAAAGTCCTGTTCTTTCAGTTTCATTCACAACTGCACACCAATCTTTGCAGGTGAAAGGGGGAGGCAATACACCTTAGTCTCTTAAAATCCAAGACGTCCTTTACCATCACCTGTGCCAACCTGTCTAAAACAAGTGTCTAAATACTGAACAGGGAATTGAACAGGAATTAGGCGAATTCAACATTGTCATTCCACAGGCCAAATAGACCATTTCTGTATCACTACTGTGCTTATGAGTATGTGGAACATCCTGACTGCAGCCTATTATTACCATTCCATGCCTCTTTACCGTGAGATTTTAGGCACCTATTGGGGAAAATTTGACCAGGGATGATTTACAGCACACCTTCATGAGAGGCAGCATTTTCCATCATCAGTAATTTAGAGGAACAAAAAAAAAAAAAAAAACAAACCCAAAAAAACACCACAGCAAGAGAGACATCATTTAATAAATAATCAGAAATCAAATTCATAATCACATATAGAGTTACACAATAATCACGACTGTCTTCCTAGGGTATAAAGCAAGAACTGGTTGATGTAATTAATACCAAAGTAATTGCAGAGGTTGAATCAACCACAAGGGTAGTTGACTGCAATATCCTCTACTTTTCTCTACCTTTCCATCTTATTAAACAAAAACTCTTATGCCCAGCTCTAAACTCTGCGTTCTACCACACCCTTTATCACTTGGAGAAATAATTTTGCAGACCAGTGCTTAAAAAGCAGCAGCTTTCAAGAACAAGTCCTGTGCAGTTCAGTTTGCATAAACGACCCATTTGAAATAATTAAATCTGCCCATATAAATTGATGGGTTTTTCTTTTGTCCCGAATGACTGCAAAATCACCCATAAATAAAGAACACAGTATCGGTGTGGCATTTTAACAGGACAACAGGGAGGAGGAAGCCAGTGAGAGTCACCTAATTCTCTATGGTTAGACTAGGGAAGAAGCAAGTGGCTGCTGGCACAGAGTAGGTTACCTGTTCCCAGTATTGACTCCAATAAAAACTGACTGCCAGCCCACCACAGCAGTTTTCTCGAGGCATACTATGACTGGCACAGACATTTAGGGATCAGAGGACTGAAAGGCTTAGCCGAGTCCAGACCCTCCACTTCCCATTGCTGTGCAGCACGCAGGTTCTTGTGTCACGTGAAGCTGGACCAACTAACAGGCTTACTTCCTCAAAAAGATCAGCTTCATTGGCTTTTTCTTGTATGATGTCAAGTAGATTATACAGGAGCCTAAAGGAAATAGTATTTCTGCCTCCTACTATCACCAATACCTGCCATTCTTTAGTCTGATACCACAGAAAACAGTCTACATTAAACAAATAACAATCTGTAAACTAAAGGTAGGATTCTGATTTTTTTTTTTAAAAAAAAAGGTACAAAAATATTTCTTTACCAATTATTTTTTGAGACAAAATTTAAATTTGGTCCAAGTTTCACAAAGACTACACTTGTGAAGAAGCAATGTTTTAACATTTTTGGAGCTTTTTTTTTTTCTCGAGTCATTTATAACAGCCGCCTCTAATGTCTCACTTTAAGAACAGAGACCAAGACACAACTACTGAAGCTGAATTCCTACCTATGAATCTCGGTGTTCCCAGTTTCTAGCTCAAAACCAAAAATAAAATGAAAAGCAAGCAAGCAAGCAAGCAAAAAATCCCAGTCCATTCCCAAGAAGGGACAACATCATATTCAGGGAACAGAAAGACTCACCCTGGTTTTGGCATCGATTTGCCCTCCGCGATCCAACAAGAGCTTCACCATGTTTGTGTTTCCCCTTTTGGAAGCCACATGCAGTGGGGTGATTCCATTCTACACCATGAAGAGAACAAACAATGAGCATGATGGATTGGAAGGTGTATAATGGTGGTGAATTTGTGTTCGGATCACAAAAAGTTAGACCGTCACATTGTAGAGAATAAACAAAAATGTACTTGAGCATCAGAGCTAGGCACACACCATAAAAGCTAGAGTTAGTAATTCCTTTCTAAGCAAGAATCTTTATTCATTGTTTGGGGTTTCTGAATAAATGAAGCAGCACATTTGCCAAAGCAGCAAACATCACAGTCCCAGAGTCAGACAAATAAACAAACATGTATCAGAGTCCCAATGAGTCAATATTCACAAAACACTGATGCATTTAAATCACTGCAACATACACAGAGCACACAAATGCATGACTCCTACACAAAGGAACCTTCTCAGCGTAACGCCAAGAGCGTAAAGGAGTAGGTCCTGTTTAGGTTGAAAGTCCTTGCAAATGCTTTGCGTGAGGAAAGAGGTAATATTGGCAGCTATTCCAGACTGGCAACAGGAGGAAGTCAGCCTAAAGGCAGAACCCTAAAGTAATTCAAAGTGCGTCTGGCAAAATTAAACTGAAAACTTGTGATCCGGTAGCTATGTTGAGGTACAGATTACCAGAGGTTTTCATGGCACCAGATGCCGTGCTTCAAACTACGCAATGTACAACAGCAAAGAGACTATTATGTAGCTCTGCAGCTGTTTACCATAAAAGACTAGTCATGATTAATTAGTACTTCTATTGTTGCATCTATATAATGTAAATATACCTTCCATTACTTTTTCAAAACATATATGTGAAAATATGAAATTGAAGCAGTATAGTAAATACTGAATACTGAAAAAACCAATAAATCCTATATATAATTTCTGGAGTATGTCTAACTGACAGAAAAGCTGAAGTGAGTTGACACGTGATATCAGCTTTCTGGAGCTAGTCAAAGGAGCCTGTTTCCTTCATCTGGGAACACTGGTCGCTACTCAACTCCCAAGAACTTTGCACAGAGGCAACCTTGAAGAAATATTGCAAAAAAGACATCTTTGAAGACAACAGAACTTCAGCATTACTTTGCTCTTGACTAAGAATTACACAAAGGAACTCCCACTGTTGTAGGCCATCACAACTAAGAAGAGAAAGAAATTCCTCCGTACCCTTGCTGTGAAATCGACTGCAGCTCCTCGGTTTAGCAGAAGCGTTGCCACATTGACATTTCCATAGTGTGCAGCTATGTGCAAAGGTGTAAAGCCACTCTACAAAGGGAAACAGCCCTTATTACAGAAATCATTTTATACAAGATAATCAACTTAACTAGAACTCAATTTTAAAAGTTGGTGGCAAACAAATATATCGTGTCGGTTTTATCCAGTTCACCTATAATATAGCAGAGCCTTTCAGGCAGAGTGCAGTTTTCCTATGAGAACTTATCAAAAGTGCTTCACTCTCATTTCCAACTCAGCCTTCTGAATCAGTGGCCAACAAGAAGAGCAGTTTTCGTTGTAGAAAATATTAATATATTAGCCATTCTTAGAGAAAATAAAGGAAGTTTCCTTATTACAATTTGGAAGCAACATGGATCTTTTGGGCTGCATCTGTTTACTAGGTTTGAATAAATGACCACAAAAGTTGTTGGACTCTTTATTTTACTGCTCTTAGAATCAGAAATATTGACAACATAAGTCTTTTTTTTTTTAAAGCAGTGGTTATTCAATATGTAACCCAAGAATTTGGTGTACATGTGAAACTACTTAGTAGCATAGTATAAGAATCATAATTATTTATACTTATATACAATTTGGATCTCAAAGGATCTGAAGAAACTTTACCATCTATACATCAGAAAAAAAAAATTGCCTCTTGAAACCTGCTCCGGCTACGAGATACAGAATTGCTTGACGACAACATAAAAAAAGATTACTTTTTCAGAAACTAGGACACAGAGCAAGCTTTTAGTCTCATCAGTAATTCAGGTAGAAAGGACCTTGCTTTTGAGGTTTCCCTGAAGAGCTTTACACTGATCTGATCAGATCTTACTATTAGTTACAGAAAGAGAGAAATACTTTTGGCTTCTGGACTATACCATATTTTCAACTAGGTTTCATTTCCTTCAGCGTACAAATCATCACTTTAAACTACTCATGGAATAAAGAAATGTAGGCAGATGTTACACTCTGAAATCAACTTTATTCCCAAAGGATACAGCAATCAGCCCACTGTTTCACCCTAATTCCATTTACTGCCTTGTCAGCCGACAGGTGATCCTGGCCAAAGCAGAGTCAAACACTCATTAAATTCATAGTCATCTTGCTGTGATAAATTACCAGGGAGATGTCTACTGAGGATTGCAGGAACACAAACACAATATTGTGTTAAGCTATAGATTGAATGCATATTGCATTAACAACTACCTGCTTGCGGCCATGTGTTTGCCTGGTGGCAAATGCAAGGTACCGAGAAGCAACGTATGGCCAGTGAAGGAGAGGTAACCGCCTTTGCATTTACCATCGTGAAGAACACGCCCATGGGCAGAAGCCAGAGAGAAGCCTCAGGATTTCCATTCACACCACCGCACATGTGTGCACACACCAAGCGTGAAGCACTTTCACATGGGTGCGGGCATTCAAAATTCAGTCCCTCATCTAACTGAGAAACTCCATTATTTAGAAGCAGACATTCAAATGATGACCACTTTGTTGAAAAGAATTCATTTTCCTAAATGTCACAATAATCTTTAGGGGAGAAATGACAGTTCTAGCTAATCAGACCCATGATATTTAGTGGAAGGGCTTGGAGAGTTGGTATTTCTAGAATTCGTATAAGAAATGTAGTATTATCTACTGCAGGTAAATTCTGATTATGTGCCATCCCTTAAGGACTTTTCAAAACTTTATTGAAAAGATCATAATAAGGACAATGGTAAAAATACGCAGATGCTCTGAACAAGTTTTTACCTTGGAGGATTTGATTATATTTATCATTGTAAAAGAAGGAAAATGAATTTTACCATTATTCTAGCTGAGCCAGACACCTTAATTTAGTTATGCATGTGAGTGCATCTTTATCCTCTTAGCTCCATTACTCGCTGCAGATTTGCTTAAACTTATGTGAACTCTCAAAAGTTTACTTCAATAGTGACACAAATAAAAAGAAATTCTAAGACAAAGGAAGAATAAAAATAGGTTTGCTGAGTCACAAATTTCTGTGTATTAAAAAAGAGTCATATCTTCACTTTTAGTGCTAAATAATAAAGAAATATTGCCACAAAGCAGAGAAAATAATTTAAAGTAACAGAAAGAGTAATTAAAAATTTTTTGTCTCGGTACCTCAGTCGTCCTATTCACCATCATCTGATGCAGCATGGTTTGGGAAAAAGAGGAACAATATTAAAGACTGGCCGCAAAACAAAGAACTATCTTGCTTTTTGAAATGAGTTATGCTGTTAATTATGGAAAAGCCATTCAAGCATGCATTAACTTTAAATACAACCTATGCTCCCATGGGCAACAAACCAGTATCCTATTTAATATGGAAGCAGTGATTCTGCTTCCATTCCAGTGTCTTCTGTTTTACAAACAATGACAGACAGCTGGTTACCAAAGAAATGGGAGGTATAACTAAAAAGCAGAAAAATGAGTAGTTTGTAATTACTGTGTAGCTAAACACTGCAAAAGTAGATATATTACTGGTGATACTGGTCGAGCAACTTGTCTTTCCCCACAGAAGACATTACCTTTAACCTTTCAGATGAAGGAAGTAACGTTTGTCACCCATCAGCACTCAGCCATTTGACTAGCCTGTTACCTCTACGGCAGCATCGTGTTACCTTGGACTGCACATCGGCATTATGGTCGTTCTGCAGCAAGAGCGCCGCTGATTTGGTGTCGTCTTTTCTAGCAGCAATATGCAGAGCTGGTAATCTCACTTTCCCCTTGGTGTCGTTCTCCAGGAGGATGGCCACCGCCTGGTTGTGCCCTTGTTGCAGCGCAACAGCTAGAGGAGTGAAACCATCCTGGTAGAGAAGAAAACAAGATGTGCTCAGTAAGCTGAAGGACGCACAGCTTCAGAGATTTGCACAGCACTGTTCACACATGGAAATTTGATGAGCATATTACCAGTTGTTTTCTACCTCTGCACCACCGTCTCCAGTGAAATGACATCAGAAGCACAACATTTTAACCCAGATATGACTTCAAATATGTCAGAAGCACACTTTTTCCACTTCAAAGGAGTCTTTAAGTCAAGTACAAGCAAAGAATTATTCTACGGTATCTCTCTTAATTACTTCTCATCTTAAAATGGGCCACAAAGCATATTTTTGAGCAATAATTTGGTAAAGATTAGTGAGCACCGAAGAAAGTAGACGTGAAAAATATACAGGGAACCTGTTTCTGAACATCTCGCATCTCTGTGAATAGAAAGCATCTCTTTCAACGTATTTGTTGCTGTTTCCCATTCTAAGTTACACACGGACTATGACTCAAGAAAGCCAGATCCTGTTTGGGAATTTATTCTAATACGAAGCTGGAAAACATTAGATTGCTTGTACTTTTTTTGAAAAACGAAGTCAGAAAAATCTCTCTGCTTTTCATTCATAGTTTGAGCTTTGTTTTAAAATTGTTTTCAAATTGCCTTGCTCCTCCACACATGCCCCAGATTGCCAATGCTTTAAAATGCGTCACATGTTCACAACTTGCTACCTCAGCTGAAGTACTGCCTGCTCCCACCTCTTTTATTCTGTCTATAAAACTGAATCTAGCTCCAGTCTTGCATGCTGCCCAAGCACACATGTGCTGTAACCACGTGTTAGATCAGAGGGCAGCTGAACCACGAGGAACAGAGCTGCTCTCTAACTAAGTCTGTGACTAGAGCCATGGTGAGTAACAACGGAAGAAAATGGAAGGTTATAAAACCAACGTCTTCCATGTCTAGGTTAGAAGGAACAACTAAAGAGTTGATTATAGCCAGAAAGTGAGAAAACTGACCTAGATACATTGTAAAAGGCGTAGGAACAAGACAGAACTGATTTGGAATAGGAATATGGAAAGATGATAAAATAATAAAGGACAAGCTAGGAAGGAATGAGAGCTAATACTTGCTGAAAGAAACATTTAAAGAATTGCCAAAGCAATTTTTCCCCTTAGTAATCTAATAACGTTCACTCCCTTTTGCATAGAACTGTGGGTAGGTGCGTTGTAACAGCGATACTACTGTGGTTTCTTTCTGTAATAGAGATTAAATTCTGTACAGTGAATTTAAAAAGGGTGAACAGCTGATGAAACAGCTGAACTGTAAAGATAATTCTGAGATTTGGGCTACTTTAGGTGTTGAAATGGCTTAATGCATTTGCCTTTCACCTCTGGGAACATGAGAACAAATCCCGGATTAGAGGTCCTGTGAAACTGAGCTCATCCTTACTCTCATTTTGTATATATATGTATATAAGCGTTAGAGGTAACGAAATATATCCAAAGGCAACACAAGTTTCACAGCTTCAAAGACAAGATCATCCGTTTGATTTGCACCACTTTATCTTCCGTCCTCCTCTAAATGGACACAACTCTTTCTGCATTCCCTCTCCTATTGCTTCTGGAAAGCATGGCTGACCAGAGCTCGGAAAAAGCATTTCATTTCCCCACCTCCCCACATGAGGACAGCCAAGCTTCGATGAAAAACAGAAGGTCCCTCCCCATGTATTTTAGTGGCATCCTCAGTCCAGGCTGCCATCCCACCTTATTTAATATACCATTTCTTCATTCTGTGCATGAGACTAACTCTGGGCACATGCAAAAGTGGACAGTGGCTGAGGCCGTTCTTCACTAACACTCGAGTCACTGAAACCATCACCTCTGCCAGACCTGAAACCAAAACTTATCTAGTTAAGCAATAAAGGGGGCAGGCAGACTTTACTTTCCAAGCTACACAGGTGACAACTGACCTTTCTGATGGCAGAAGACAGACTTGGACTTGGGTTCAGAGTGGGGGGCATTTGATTTTTTTCCTCCCTCTGCCTTTTTTTTTTTAAAAAAAAAAGAGAGACTATACTGTGAGTTCCAGTGATGCCTAGATGTCTGCATTCAGGTAGAGGCCACATTAATTATAACTATCTCAGTCTCACAGTTCCTGTAAACTAATGCCTGAATTTCCAGTGCACCTGATCATCACAGCCAGTAAAAGTTATGGGGAGAAAGGCTGCAAGCAGGTGACTGCGGGCTGTAGCCGAGCTGAGCTCCCGGAGAGACGCAGTTCCACTCTGCTCCATCACAAGGAGTGTGTTTCTGCCACGTTGCCTGGCAATCACACAGGATTTCATGTCTCAGAAAGCTGACATGTAACATGATCACAATATATGCAGGCCACAAGAGGATTATTTCAGGAGCTGTCATCAAATGGTACAGTATCCATTGAAAGAAGGGACAGTAAAGCAGCTGTTAACACTAGCAGTTCGGTTTACAGGAAAGGAGAGCGAGCATAAATGCAGCATCATTTCAAATTCATTCGTTTGTGAAGGCAACTCAGAATGGGTAAGTTTCTATACAGACTAGAAAAAAAGTGATAAACATGAGCAAAAGGTCTGACAGAAGAGGAACTTTCCTATTACTACTTCACATGGCACATCCATTTCCATAGAACAACCACGAAGCCAACACACTTTGCAGCACAGAGCCTGTTCACTCATTCCCTTGGCCTGGAACAAAAGAACATTCAGCAGAAAGAGTACAAGATGAGGAAACAGAACGAGCACAGTCTTCATGACCTAGGAGTTTTCCACATTGTCCTCAAATCCTCTCTATGATTCAGTTCCTCTTGAGACAGAGTTTCCTCTCCCTTACTTTGTTGTCTGCCATGCTTGCACTGAAGTTACTGCAGGTTTACAGCACTGTAGTTAAATCCAGAACCTAGCAATTAATACCATCCTTCTGCGTATTTATACCCACGTGGTCCAGCAGTATAAATAAAGTATCCGAGGAGAAAACACGACATTGCCTGCTGAGATCATTGATATGATCCTTGTTAGTCATTTGATTTCCAATTTACGCTAATCACAGGCAATAATGAATATCTGTAGGTTACACAAAGTCACAGAGCAGCCTCAGAATCAGAGTAACTTAGCTGGTCAAGGAGGTCCAGCTGCCATCTCTCCTCACTTAGGGGAACAGGAGCAGGGGGATGGAATAAGTGACCTCCTGAGGCCCCTTTCTACCGGAATGGTTCTGTGAACCTGGCACCGCAGAAAGCCTACTCCACTCATCACATCTGTGCATGCACTTGCCTGTTTTTCACTCCTCTCTGTGCAGAAAATACTCTGAACTCATCTAAAATCTCAAGACCCAATCTAAAAGGATGCTTGTCAACAACTAACTGTTGATACTGATTGTTTTTATGCCATTTTACGCTATACACAGACACCTTTCTGGACACAGCTTTCATAGTCCTAATTATGCCACTGATGTTATGTTCCACACACTTTTCAGCTGGCTGAGGAAGAAGCTGAAGCAAGCTCCAAACAATCTTCCCCAGAAGACCCCTTACACAGCCAAGAGTGGGAGATACACGCTGTAATATTCTGTTCACCCATTTTTGCCCAGATCTTACAGTGCAAATGAAAAAGCAGCACAAAGATAGCCCTGTTGCTCAGGTGACGGCACTCCTAGACGCTTGAGTTTTCATGAGCTTTGCAGGAGACGTAAATCTGTTCAAATGAAATGTTGTACCTCTCCACTTAGCCTATGATTGATCTACTGTTCACTCCATTCCCCTGACAATACCACCTTAGCCTCCTACAGTTTCTACAGCCCTAGGACCTCTCTTCAAAGCCTCCTTCATTTTTCAGGAAGGAAGCTGATAGGGGAAATGGGAACAAGCTGAAGGTGAAAATCCTGGGCTCACTAAAGTCAGTGGAAATTTCACTGTCAAATGAATCAAGTTGGATTTCATCCCTTGACTTTTCACCACTTTCAGAACACTTCACCCATGTCTTCTGCAAGTGTAAAAGAATGACAAGATTCACAAATACAACTCGTTGAAATGAAAGCATAAAGCTCTCAAAATACTCTGCTTGAAAAATCTTCTGACTTTAAGAGATCTGAATCTAAAGGCAAAGGAAAATAAGAGCATGTGTAAAAAAAGAACAATACACCTCACCTCAGTAGCTGTGCTTTGGTTGGCTCCATTCTCCAGGAGATATTTCACCACTTCGATGTGGTTCTCTTGAGCTGCCATATATAAGGGAGTAAAGCCATTCTAGGAAGAACACATGAGAAAATATTGGAATGAGGAAACAGAATATACCAACAATAATGAACCCCAAATAAATATATGGCTAAAAATGTATTTGTGCTTTTTTAATTGAAATATTTTAAGTATGTAAGTAGAACATCTTTGTATTTTTCAACTTAATATGGCAATGTTTAAAGCCATTTAAACCCACAAAATTCTACATTCTTTCATACTCATTTTCTTTTGACACATATTTTAGGGAAGCAATGGACGCTCTAATTATTAATACAGCTATTCATTGCTGATAACGTCCAGGGACTGTAACACTGACAATAAAGTTTTATGAAAGTTGAAAGTAAAAAAGAGTTTCCTCAGTTTATTACATTAACTTAACCAAAGACGTCACCCCCTGGAGACCATTAAGTCCATACCTCACGACAAGCTGAGTAGAGATGACAAAGGGTTAACATACTACAAGAAATTTTGTAATACATAAAACACTGCAAATCATCAAACGTAAAGGAACGCAACCTTGCAAAGTAACAACTGCATTTCTGACCACACAATTCATCTGTTCCATTAAGTTCATCCATCTGACCATAAAGTTCATCTATCATTTAACTATAAACTTGCCTTAAAATGCCCTAGAGTCCTTAAAAAAAATGGCTCTGGATAATAGAGTCGTTAAAAAAATTCTTTTAAGTTAATCAAACTACAGGCAGATTCATCAGAAACACAAGTCCTTTCTTCCCATTAAAATACTTTGATGCAAACAATTTTAATTTATTAGCCACAAAATCCTTATGAAAGAATGGCATGGAAGTGAGCTGTATGCCTGATGAATAGCTTTCTTCTAAGAGGTTTTAAGGTTGTTAAAAAGGCCTTAAAAATTCTTTAATATTTGGTAGATCCCCATGTAACATAAGAAGATGGCTTGTTTAGCTAGAACATAAATGAGGCTTCAAATATGCAATCTTTTTTTTTTTCCTTGCGTGTTATCACAATGAATGATAAGCTTGTACATTTACACAAGCAGTCAGAACTAATGCAAATACTGTAATAACTAAGAACCTTGTTTCATAGAAGCCAATATTCTTCTTTCTAGCAAACTTGCTGTGGAAACATCCCAGTAATTTCCTAATAAAATGAAATCTCATTTTTCAGTCACTCAATAATATATTTGTTTGTAGAACTGATGTCTTTACAACCCCCTCTGCATTTACAAATGTAGAAGCTTGCTCAGGCAATAAACGTCATTTATGTTGTGTACGCCATATGATAATATGTCATATGCATAATATTCTGGCACTTCCATGAACAATCTTGGGATATATAATTAAAAAACGACACCCAGAGAACAGTTAACAGCAGCTCAATGCCAAAACTGCGGGATGTATTTTGAGCCACTTTGCACAGGAGCCTGTCTTTGGCAGGTATTATCCAATATTCTCATTAACAACTTGAACGATGGAACAGATTGCTCTTGTTACAATTACAAACAGCATGAACAAGATGGTCTGCAAGCACACCACACAACAGGATCATAATTTGAAAGGTTCCTGTTACCCTGGAGAAAACAGCTGAAAATGTAATTTAGTAAGGAAAATACAAGTTTCTCCACTGTTGCAGGAAAAACAAACTACATGAACAGTGAACGATGAGTTGAAGAAGAATTCTGCAGAAAAAGTCCTGAAGGTCACAGTGCTTTACCAGAGGGCCACTGGTCAATGAGCTCATTCTGCTGTAATAAAAGACAATTATTGCACTAAAATATATCTCCCTCGGGAAGCTATTTTTCTTTGAGAAAAGAGTAGTAATTAGTGTTTTTTCTGTCTGGAAAGGGAAACCTGAAGGAAAACGTGCTAACAGTTCTTTAAAGAGGAGGGTAAAGGTCTGTTCTGCATGTTCACAATGACTAAAGCAAATAGAAAAGCGCATAGTTTACTAAGGTTGCTGGGGAAAAAATTCAGGTTAGACATCATGAAAAGCCTCTTCACAGTAAGGTCGGTCTGCATTGCATTTTGATGGGCAGCTTCCCTCCCCCCAAATCACTGCTAAAACCAGGCAGCAAACTGGAAGCACAAACCAGGCAAACGAGTTAGCCTCTTCCAGACCCACGCCGGGGCTGGGAGGCTGGCGAGTCGGGGGCTGCCCTGGTCTCCTGGCTGCTCCTCAGCCAACTCTTCAGTGTCGGGGAGATGAGGCATCTCCTCACAGCGTCTAATGAAGGAACGCTGTTCGGCGTGTCATTGGGAAGGTGCAGAAGGGCAGGGGATTGCCAGGCATCAGGACTGAGCTGGCAGTAGGAATTATGAACAGACTGGTTCCTTTTTGATTACACTTGTACAGAATAGCCCAGTGAAAACCGCAGGTAACCGAGTTAGCTCATTGTTTTGGTTTTCCTTCCCAGTCCGGAAAGAAACAAAATAGCAACCTTTTAGGTATAACTAACAGTAATTTTCCACCTGCCTCATCAGTGTTTTAGTACTAAATTCTCACATAGCAGTTTTTTAAATGGTAATACATGCCATTTATAAAATCCTTATAGCACTGAATATTATATGAATGAATACAAGGATCACACCAACTAATGTATATTTGAGTGAATATGAGAATTTTCAAGCCAGAGTAAATCAATTTGCTTAAAAGCTTTGAAGAATGTCATTTTTTTTTAATCAACTCCAGTCCCTAGTTCTGGAAGAGGATCGGGACAATAAATCCTGGATTAGGAGAGCATAAACTATACCTATATGACTTCATGACCATTTAGTTGAAGTCTCCCAGCAGGATGAAAGACTGTGAGCGCGAAGCCTCCTGGAAGCTGGAGGAAGAAGGCTTCGTCAGTAGGCTCCCTGTGATCAGGCGGCCTGTAGTAGACACCCACAACCAGATTCCCTTTGTTGCCTCTGTCTCTGATTCTTACTAAATCAAACAAGATTTCATTTCATACCTGAAGCTACAGTTATCAGGGGTAAGGAAATTTGTGCAAATAAAATCACAGGGGTTTTTTTTCCTTCATGCTTTATTTATAGTTTAAAACTACTGTATATATTTTCTTAAAATCTAGCTTATTTTGGAAATTGTAGCAGCATGTCAAGGTCTATATGCAAAACTGCCTATATCAGACACACTTTTGTGTCTCCTTCCCAGTTTCTCATCATTTAGTTTCTAGGAGCTACATGCCAACACTTGGTTTCTCTGCTCTGCTTCTACACCTATTTCAAAGCTCAAGATCCCAGATCTCTGCAAACTGAAGAAAATGTATTTTCCCTAGGCTTTTGCTTCACTACCCCAAACTGCCTTCTACTGAATCCAAGAAATTCTGATTAATGATTCTCCACGGATGTATTGCAAAGGAGACTGACGTCTCCCTTCCTTATTTTAGGATGTGCCATGGGATACAGAAGGTTTATTGGCACAAAGGTGGGGAATCTTTATTTCAATAAATTTTCCTTCAGCTTATGATCCCATACTGTATATACACAGCCCAGAAGTAGCATAAAAATACTGACTGTGGCATTCAAATGTGACCTGGAAAAGGAGAAATGCACTTTATTTTGCTGTTTCTGAAAGCCCAGCTGTGTAATTCTGTCATGTCAGTATGTTTAGGTTCTGTGCATCATCCGAAAAATAGAAATTAATTTTGTAATGATATATAACATTCATTTTCAAACAATGATTTCATCAGAGTATTTGTAGTGAGGACAGAGTACTCAGCTTTCATTATCCTTACAAATATATACTGCAAGATGTTTACTACTATAATATAAAGTTATAATGAGAAATTAACGCTAAACAGAGTATATTTCATACTCTATTCTTTCTACTACATTCACTGATTTACTTGCTAATTTGAGAAAATTAGTAGCTCTCAATGATTCTTCAAGCTATTAATGCAAATTGCCAAGTCTATATATGACTCAGAATTTGTATCGTTAAATTCTGCCCAAGTCCTAATGAAGAACACAGTTTGAAGATGCAGAGGGATTATTAGAGCATTTAGAAAATCATACAAATAGCTATATAGCTTGGTTGAGCTTTATTTTATGGCAGGCTTTCAAGGAACCATACTTTGCATGCAGTACCAAATGATCCGAAGCACACACCTTCCAAACTCTGATTAGCAGCCAGTGCGTTGGAACGAGTAGCCTGCCCGTGCTTGTCCATGAAGATGTGGCCTTCAGTGTCTATATACCTATAGTATCTACATACCATATATCCATATATATATACTCATCCTGATAAGGAAAAGAAAGAAAATAGAGATACATTATCTCTTCCCTCACTTTGCCTCTTCTAAGATGACACGAGAGTCAGCAGCATATCCTGTGATTAAATAGCTACTGTAAACCCAGACAAACATATCTATTTTATTTCAAAGACCTCCAGAAACTGTTTAAGACTGTATTAGAAGATCACTGAGATTACCAGGGAAGATGAGACAACTGACATCTAATGCAATTGTTTACATACAGCAATTACTCATTCCTACTTACTCTTCAAGATGTAATTACCAGTCAGAAGGTCAAAACAATCAGCAGATTGCCTGACCCAGACCATTCACCTCCTCTGCCTCCATCTTACTGCATGGGGTTTTGGTTTGGTGTTTTGGTAGCCTTCTCTCCCCAGTTTTGCTTCATATCACAGAAATGAAAGTTATTTTCTCAAGATCATAAATGAAAACCAAATTAGTTAGGCTTTTTCTGCAACCTTTACTACAGTTCTGCAACTGCACTTCTCAAGCAACATTCAGAGAAAATTATGCACACAGAATATTGTCCATATAAAAGCTCAGCTTCCTTTGGGTCACTCTAGAGTTTCCTTCACAGGACCCGACACTTTACGTAACCTAAGAGAAGACTTTGCGAAATTGTTCTACCTTCCTCCCCATGCCGCCTCCTCTCTCTGCTCTTGGCAGAATTTAAGCCAGCCCCAAAAAGGAACAGATATTAGCACAAAGGATGAGACAAGAATGAGACAAGAGTGAGACACACTTATATTACTCATGAAACAGCTTACACAGA